TTCTTTTTGTATTGTGTATTAAATTATTACACCAATGATAATTACAAGGCGGTGACGTTTATAATTAAGGCTTTGGTGACGTAACTGCTCTTGAAAGAACTACTTTGCATTACAACGGAATGTCGCCGGTTTTGACAATTCGCTTTTAATCGTGTTTTCATGCCATAAACAATTCTCTTAGCGACAAAGCCCAGCTGTGTGCCTCGAGGAGGCTACGACACGGAAATGTAGTTGGATTTGCTACTTGTGGGAATGGGCTGTGGAAAATCAAGACTACAACATAGTGATGTCGATTCCAACGACAATGTGCCGGTCACTAGAGAAGTCGACGTGGTTGAGAGTGAAACGGAGCAAGCTAAAATCGAGGCAGTACTCGAAGCTACAGACATGCAAGGTTCAAAAAATAGAGAAAGTAAATTGCCTACATTTAAACAGGCCACCACCGGTAAGCCAACTGTAACAAGTCGCAAACTCCCGCGCGCAAGAAAGTCTGAAAATGGGAGGGAAATTGAACTTAATGCGTGGTGTGAGAAGAAAACGAAGAAAAATGCCCAAAACATTGCTTTGAAGCCGCAAGGAGACAGCGGGGATGATTCGGAGTTTGAGAGCGAATACGGTCGAGACGGAGTTGATTTGACCTCCACACATGTGACAAATGATCACGAAACAGAGAAATTAATGAGCAACTCGCTGGGTCCAAGATCGTCTCCTGATGGGACAAATCTTACCAACTACAGTGAAGAGCCAAATAGGATATCGGCTTTGCAAAAGGTAAATACGACGCCAGTCAGATAACAACTTGTCCTAAAAAACAGCAAGTATAAGTAAATAACGACTTTGTCAAGGTAATAACTTGTCGGGATATAACTCAGTTGCTAGGTAAACAATTTCTACGATCCTGCTTAATTAACTACCCTGCTATACGTGAACACGCTATAAGCACTAATGGCCTGCGTGCTAATTTTTTCAGGCTTGGCTAGGGAGGGAAGAAGGGAAACAGGAAAACCAATTTACTTAAATCTTGATCTACAGTATCTCGATTGCTTCAATCTTGAAATACCAGTGATGCCAAACTGCCAAATTGTTGATATGACTTACTGCCGAAATTTACTTCCACTAATGGCAGTATACCTGACATTTTGGCGACAAAATACAGTACCTGGGTAAAAAAGGAGGTCTTGAGATGATCGTAATACCCAATCGCCCTGGCTGGTTCCGTCTTCTGTTTCCTTTTTCCGTCTGAAGCAAGGAAATTAAATAGGTTTGACGATGTCTGTATGCAGGCTAAGTTTTAAGAATTTAGGATCATGACTTATTAAGAAAATCATCTTTTTCCATAATTTGTACTTAAACACGCACAGAACAACGGCTCAATTTTATTTGAAAAAAAAAATGCGCTTATCTGTTCATTTCCCTTAGCGAAGTAAAGCAAATTATGTTATTTGTTAAAGCAAGTTTAAAAATCCATCGGCAAAAACAGCATCCATAATTATTGTTTTTGACAGGTGGAATCCGACGAGACTTTCGATCCTTCTACTTTAATAGATATTGAAAAATTTAAAGCCGCAAACGCTCCAACAAAACAGGTAAGTTAGGAATAAAGTTATTAATGTTTTCGAAACGGTTTCAGTTGCAACATAGGCTAAACGAAAAGTCGCCCTTGATCACCTTCGAGTCGCGTCAGAGATGTCGCAAAACCTGGACGTTCGCAACAAGCAGCAAAACGTGGAAAAAGTTAACAAGGGTGCTATCTAGTATAATGTTTTAGAAAGTTATATGGGAATATCTGCGTTAAAAGTACCCCTGAACAGCTCTTAAGCCATGGACAGCAATAACTTTTGATGCAAGACCAGGTTTTCGGTTTTTGCGGAAGTCCAGTCAAAGACCATAGGTCTACCACGAGAGATCAATACATATGGTCTAGATGGGTCAGAAAGAAAGTAAACGCGGCCCTTACTGCGAACGAATGGTCGGTTTAAAAAGAAAATGATTACGGTGAAGTGTGGGAGCGCCGAAACACAAAGTAAAACTGTTTTTATCAGCTGAGTTGGTAATTTAAAATCAATTTAATTTGCTTACTAAACAGTTTGAAAAGCTGAGTCGCTAGAAATTCAGACGCTTTTTAAGGGGTCTCTACTCAAACTGTTACTAGAAAGTTTTTTTTGGTTTTATCAACTCAGATTACAAAACTAAAATTGCGTGCGTTAAAACAGTAAATCTGCAAGGCAAAGACGAGTGCCCAGGCGGAAAGTTATTATGGTTTTATAGACAATAAATAGCAATAAGTAACAATAAGTAGCTCCTATTTTTTCTTGTGCTTGACAAATTAAAGAGAACCGCTCTCGCTATTTGCATACTCGACAGGCCAACAGCTGAAAACAGCTTTTATCGACTCCGGTCTGACGGGAGCCAAGCTGCGTAGATTGCATTAGGGCAGTTTCATATTTTCTTTCAAAGTTTAATACTACCATGTAAGATGACTCGATTTGATTAAAAGACCAACCAAGTTCACTTGCTTTTCAGACAAATACTTCAGCGCATGATTCAGGTATGTATGAAACATACTGACCACTATTAAACCAGGGTCGACTTTGACTTATTAATGCCGTGTACCAGAGCTCACACTGCAGTGTTTGCTCCAGGGTGCCTGGGTCACAAAAACTCACCGGCTTGAATATAAAGTTGAAAATTTTACTGATACTTTATGCGATTCTAAAACTAATTCACGGCAATCATCTTTTTTGGATTGCAGAAGGTACAAACGAAAATGACGTCTCAGTAACGGATAAGAAGTAAGAATATTTGCCTAATTCTCTTTCTGATGCAAATACCAGGATAATCCGAAGTCTAATAGTCAGCAATATAACTTTCAATTAGCTAGGTTAGAGAATTACCGTCCACTTAAATATAACCTCAAAAAGCTGTCACCGGGCCGCACAATCGGTTTCGCAGAAGGTGGATAGATATGGAGCAATTACGCACAGAATACCCAACCTAAGCAGATTTTTAATGGCGAAGGAGTCGGAGTCGTAAGCGCAGTCGTAACAGCGCTTATGACCTTGTAAAAATAAAAATCGGAGTCGTAAGCGGAGTCATAAGCCTGACGGAATCGGAATCAGAAGATTCAGAAGGTTTCCATTGCTTCCGACTCTGTCGTTTGCGTTCCCCTTAGGATCTAACTAGTAAAAACCCGATTTTCGGAGTCGGAAGTCGAAGTGGAAGGATAAACCAGTCACAATGCACATTCCCACTCTTTGTGATTGGTTTAGTTCTTCCGAGTCTGCCTGCGACTCCGACAACCTAGTTTTCACTTGATAGTAAACGACGGAGTCGTAAGCGGAATCAGAACGCTGTTTTCAATAGATCGTTAAGTTCTACGCTTCTGATGACTCCGACTTCGTCGCTAGTGAAAACCAGCCTTGCGCTTTAATGAATTTGCTGTCCAATCCGCGAACGAATCACCGCAACAGCGATGCCGGAATCACCGTGCTGAACTGGCCCCGGTTGTTCAAACGTTGGATAGCGCTATCCACCTTTTGAACAACTGGGGCCTGGTCTTTAAGGGTCGAAGGGTTACAAACAAACGGTTGGATTTTCAATTCAATATGGCTCTAATACATTCCCAAGATCAAAGCCTCAGTAAAATGCTATTAAATTAAACGATCAGACCGTCTTTCTTATTTTGAAGGGGTAATGTTGTTAAGAAAATGAGCGTAATAAGTAGATATATCCAGACTAGGACTAAGTACTTATTTAAAACTATCAAATAGTGCGAGCTTTACCATTACTCTTCAACTGACAATTTGTGAATGATAGTAATCGATGGACTGCGTGGAATGACATGAGCAAAAAAGAGAAAGAGGAAGGAGAAAAACGGTAAGGGAAAAAAGGGGCCATACCCTCCCACTTGTCCCATTCACTTCCATCCCTTTTGAAGCCTGCCCCGTAGGTAGGTCCTCGGAGACCCTGCTGTATCCTAAACTGGGAGGCTTTCCATCTTTCTGTAATCTTTGCCTGCAATGATTTCGCCATGATTATCCTGATTAGCAGCGATGCAAGAGCTAATTGACCTTTTTTGTTTTGATATGCGCAGTGTGGCAGAGGCTAAAAACTCAGCAAACTACGACGAGTTCTACGATGATGACGAGAAGGAGCTTATCGCCAGCATTGAGAAAAACTTTGTTACATTGTCACCTCCTGTCCTGCCTGGCTCAGTGATTTAACAGACACGCCCACGCATGCTAACACAGGTAAAACAAAACCTTTACCAGTCGTTTCGCTGCATAATGAAGTCGATTCGCTGAGAGTTGGGAGCAGCAGCAGCAGTAGC